AGTCTCAGGATATAAAATAAATGTGCAAAAGACAATCGCATTTCTTTACACCAATAAAAAACAAACAGAAACCCAAATAAAAACCACAATCCCATTCACAATAGCCACAGAAATAATGAAATACCTTGGCATCTTCCTAACCAGAAACGTGAAAGACCTTATAATGAAAACTACAAAACACTGCTCAAAGAAATCAAAGATGACAAACAAGTGGAAAAATATCCCATGCTCATGGACTGGAAGAATCAACATTGTGAAGACGTCCATCTTACCTAAGGCAATCTACAGATTTAATGCAATACCCATCAAATTACCAGCAACATTCTTCTCAGACCTAGAAAAAACAACACAGGAATTCATATGGAAACACAAACGACCAAGAATAGCCAGAACAATCCTCAGCAAAAAAAAAAATAAAGCAGGTGGTATCACATTACCAGACTTCAAACTTTACTATAAAGCTACAATCATCAAAACAGCTTGGTATTGGTACAGGAACAGGCATATAGACCAATGGAATAGAATTGAGATTCCAGAAGCAAAACCTCAATTTCTCAACCAACTCATCTTTGACAAAGCCTCCACCACCTACCACTGGGGAGAGGAGAACCTATTCAGTAAATGGTGCTGGGAAAACTGGCTGACCACATGCAGAAGATTGAAACAGGACCCCTATCTATCCCCATACACAAAAATTAACTCCAAATGGATCAGAGACCTAAATGTAAAACCTCAAACCATAAGAACCTTAGAAAATGAAGGACATACCCTCATGGAAATCAGAACTGTCATCCAATTCCTGAACAAAACCTGAAACCCACAGGCCATAAGAGATAAGATAGACAAGTGGGACCTCATTAAACTGACAAGCTTCTGCAAAGCCAAAGAAACCATCAAGAGAGCAGGGAGACAGCCTACAGACTGGGAAAAAGTATTTGCCAACACCAGGTTTGACAAAGCCCTAACATCTTGGATCCACAAGGAACTCAAACGTGCTGAAAAGAAAAAAACAAACAACTCCATTATAAAATGGGCAAAAGATATGAACAGACACTTCACAAAGGAAGACATCCGAGCAGCCAACAGACACATGAAGAAATGTTCAACCTCACTAATCATCAGAGAGATGCAAATCAAAACCACACTGAGATACCACCTAACTCCAGTCAGAATGGCAATTGTCAACAACTCAAAAAATAACAGCTGCTGGAGAGGGTGTGGTGAAAAGGGAACACTTCTACACTGTTGGTGGGAGTGTAAACTAGTG